GGGGGGGGGGGCGGGGAAGATTAAATATTCTCAGGAATGTGTGACCTTGGGGAATGCTGCTAATTTATTTGCAGTCCCAAGGAGACTTTTACTACTGCTAGCAGTAAAAGATTAGTTAACATGTTCTCAGGGAGGACAGCATGTGACTTGCAGTGGTTCACCACATTAATCAAAAATAAACCCCTGATTTTTGATCTAACAAGTACTTTTGCATCCATTAGTTTGCTGAGGGTTGATCTCACTTTGGAAGGAAACGAACCTCAATACAAGGACCAGAAAAAAAAATAATGTATTGCAATATCATAGAAATAGCCTCCTGCCTGCTGCCAAAAGGGTAATAATCATGCAGAATAATTCTAGCCTAAAGCCTGCCATGTATCAGTGGAGTGATAAGAGTATAGTGGTGTACTCTTAACACTGGGAAGATACCCTACAGGAAGAACTATCCATGAACATCAGGACCTTGTGCAAGAGATGTAACTTTACACATAAGTGTAATAGTAGGAATCCATCTCTGAAGACAGTAAGCAGCAACATACTTTCTGATTAGGAATTGCTTTCAACATTCTGCTCTGGATTTAATCTTTGTAATTACTTAGCATTGCTCCACTAATAATGCTTTACACTAAGTTTGAAGGAGCCAGACCCACTGGTATGTCCTGTATCAAAGACTGGTAATCTTTACAGCCACAGAATTTCTTTTAGAAAACATTACCGAGAGCCTGATGCCAAGTATTGCCCAGAAAAGTCATTTTTAGGACTGCAAAGCTGTATTTCCCATTGACCACAAACAGACATAAGTCATGAGTTCTGAACTATACCATTGACCACAAACAGACATAAGTCATGAGTTGTGAACCATAGCCCCTCTGCTGCTACAAATTTCCACTGCTAACTGATTTGCCGCAGTAATTCAACCAGTCTATGCTTCACTTTCATTTTCTATAAAACTGGGATTATAGGACACTTTATCTCCCAGAAACATTTTGAGTTCTGACTGTAAAGCACTTGGAAATGCTTGGGCAAGAAGCGTTACGCAGCAGCAAGATATTCTACATAGTACGAGGCTTCAGAGGAGACTATATGATCTAGAGAAGGCTACCAAAAAGATATGTCAGCTGTCGCAGACTCAGAAAAAAGCTGCCTTGTCTCGGCAGCTCGAGACCCGCACTCTCCTCCAGGATGCACAGGTCCAGGAGCAGGGCTCCGCTTAGGGCCACCGCTCGCGAGGAGGCAATCCTGCGCCTCACTCGCTGTCGCTTCATTTACAGCAGCGTCAGCTCCACCTAAAGAAAGCACCGCCACATGAATCCGGTGCCCCCTCCCTGCTGCTACCAGCCCACCCAAGCACACCTGCCGTCTGCCGCAGGATTTCGGCTGCTGGAAGACGCTTTCCCCTCCGCTTCCCCTACACTTGCTTCGTAGCCGACTTAAGCCACCCCTTCCCTCCGAGCAGCCGACGCTGGCGCTCGTTTGTCCCCTCGTGGGGAAACCTGCCACATGATGCTCAGAGTAAAATGCAGGACCCAAGAGATGCTGCTGTCACCGACCAACTTCTCCTGCCGAAGTCTGGCAGGAACCAGAGTGCTGCTGGCCACACCACCGGCCCTGCGAGACGTCGCTGCCAGCAGCCGAGCGGGGACTCCCTGGGCAGCAGCGCCGGTTCGTGTGTGTGCCCCAGGGAGAGCCCGAACCCAACACCAGTCCGAGTGCAGCCACTTCCCTACGTGGCAGCCGTCGTACAGACCTGTTCGAAATAAAATAAAAACCGGGCCTTTATTTTTTTATATTCGTTTTTCCTCTAGCTTCAGTTACGATTTAGTCCACTTTGAATGGAATCTTCTCTTAACGGTCCTCAGCTAGACTTAAAAGCACCTTAGCTGCACAATGATTAAGTAAGTAATGACAAATAAACCAAATGCAAGCAGAATTAACTTTCTGAAATAACAAAGCTTCCTGCACAACAAAAAACTAACCCCATCAGGGTGCGTTGCCTTATTAAGAATCAGAAAAGGTGATTACTTATGTCATTTCTTCAGTCATAATCAGACAACGTGATATGAAATTGGACTGACAGCTGCATGAGGGAATTTATATAATTCCTCCATATTTTTTCCACAGTCTTCAGCCTGCGAAATGCTTTCCTAATACAGCATGAAAATAGGTATCGTCAGTGCATAGCAGTCTTCTTGCTACAGGCTCCGACCGAGACTGCCAAGGTAAGTAGCATACGTTTTTTTCTTGTCTAATTGCACAACTATGCTTTCCCTAATGGAGGATCTCAGCCTAAAAGTGGCCATGCTGTGCTAAGCATCTACTACAGTTGTGACATTTGACCAAAACCAAAGCAAAACAAAATAACACGCCAGTGCTCTGGCTCACATATTTATTACAGAATTTTTACTGTTGAACATGAACCAATTTTATACCAGGGTTGAAAGCAAGTTGTATTCTTGTCGAAAAACATTACCATTTCTGATTGCTAAAAAGAAATACCATTATCTTGAGTAACAGAAATGAAGACGGTCAACATCTCCAGAGAAGTCAACACTGAAACAACCCCCTGCACCCAACTCATATGCCATAGTAGTCAGATCAGAAAACTGTATCATGCTCTTCTATGCACAACACATATCTTACAATTTCAGATTGAACAGACGGTATGATTAATTCCACTGTTCTATAAATTTACCCTCATTTTCACACTGTATCACATTTCTAGTAACAGCACCGTACATAACATCTGAAAGTGTGGTAGGCACTTCACAGAAGTATACTTTTTCTCCTGCAAGTTGAATTTCATTCTCTAATACCTAATGCACAGAAGACTGACTACCACTAACATTAATTATTAAAAATAAATTGCAGTAGAAGGACTTCTTCAGGCAAAAGCAATGAGCGAATTCTTTCCATTTCCAAGTCACTGGTTAGTACTTAGAATAGGTATCTACTATAGACTACGTCAAGAAGTCATTACCTTCTCCTGTTACTGAAATATTACCTTTCCCTTCCAAAGCTGCCTTCACGCCAGGTAACTACCATCTTCTCAATGTCTCCCAAGTCCAGTTTATCAAAGGAGAAAGTGCTGCAGTGAAACGTTCTTTTCACTTGGACGTGGTGGCATCACAGCATTTTGTTGACTTGGGTGCTCTGAGCCCTAGGAAATGTAGACTTTCCAGCACCTGTTGAATGAACTACCTTATTTCAGCTCCCAAGCCCAATCTCAGCATGATCAATGTGTTTTTTAAAGAAACTCTGCTAGCCAAGATGAGTTCATGGGTGTAGCTGCTGTGATGCTGCAAGGCAGAAAGGAGGATGGTCTGGATAAGACTGATATTGGTGAGGGCCGTCAGTCCAGGGCCTCGAGCTAGCTAAGCTGTATCAAAAGGGAGACAGCAAACTGAACGAAGCCCGAAGTGCCACATTCCCGCTGACTCGTGCCCAGCTGTAACGTTGTGAGCTGGCTCTTGGATGTCCTGATGTTTGTGAGGTGCCTGCCTCGGCTCCCCTGCAAGCCCCAGGCTCACCCTGCCCGCCCGCCTCTCGCCGCCATACTGCGCGCTCTACCGGCCGCACGGGGAGCAGAGGAGACGCGCTGAGCGCAGGCGCAGTGACTCCCCTGCCCCACTCCCGCCCCTCTCTCGCAGACCCGATACTCGGCAGGCACGTGAAAACGCAGAGCTGAGACAGGCCGCTGCCCTGCGCTCTGTCCTCTTCCCGCCGGCCCCCGCTCTCCTCCCGGAGCCTCGGAAAGCTCCACAGTTCAAATCCTGCCTCCGGTGGCTCCACTGCTGCCTGGCAAACCCCCGCGTAACCACCGCCACCAGACTGCACACCGGAGCCTCCGGCGCCGGAAGCCCCAGGGGGGCCAGAGCAACCAGCCCGTGCCGCAGCCAGGCTCCGTGCTCCGCTGGGACTCCCTAGACCCGCAGGTCATGCCGTCTCTCTCTCTCCAGCTTCCCATTTTTCAAAGCGGTATATTTAAGTTGCTCAGGATGTAAACATACGCAAGAAGCAACCAGATGGGTCAACGACAAAATTTATGAATCCCAGTGTAGCACGAAGTAGAACGGGCTGCCCCTTCTCATGTTTTTCTACTCTTTGCATCAAAGCGCAGTGTCTCTACATGCATTCCAGCAGGGAGAGCAGCCCCTGAGTAGCCAAAACAAAAATCCTGGCGTGGGAGAAGCACAGCTAGACCTTAAGCTCGCACGGCTGCCAACTAATTTGTAATGTCTAATCATAGCAATTCAGAGGCAACCCAGCTTCTGTGACCCAGACCATCTGGGCTAGCACAGAGAGAAGGAAGTTACACATCTCTCCAGCCATCACCCCCTGCCCTCATACCTGGATGACAGCGGATATAGAGCTGAATGCTGTCAGCATGGTCCTAGAAACTGAAATTCATGTGGCAGCACGTGACAGACCCCAGAGGGGAGCAGAACTTGTGATGCTGATAGCACCGGAGCTGTCTCAATCAGAGGAACAGGGAGCCCCAGCTGCAGGGACAGCATTAAATTAATAAATATTACACAAAAACAGGTGAAATAGCCTACAGCAAACTTCACCATTTCAAACAAACAGAGCATTAAAATCCTACCTTCCAAGCAAAAAGGAAACCCTCACTGGAAATCCCTGGCCCCATACACACGCTCCAGTAGCGTGTAGCAGCCTGAGCAACGGGGAGAGTCTCGGTTCTGGGATAATTCATGTTCACTTCAGGAATTATGAGCACGGGTAAGAAGAAACACTAAATAAAAATAAAGGCTCTGAGTGTTTATATATCTGCATTACTGGAACTTTTTTAGATTGCCTTGGTTTACAAATTATTTTTCGTGTTACAGAAAACGTGGATGTCACAGATAGAAACGGCAATCTCCAATTACACCACGCAACATGAAAGCAACAAAAGCACTGCTTTCTGCTCCCCAGCTGAATCCCCTGAAATTTAAAAATGTCAGCACAGCACCAACAGATCCGGGGGAGACTGCTGTGGTGATGTTTCCGAAGCGAGCAGATTTCTGACTTGACTAGACAGAAGCGATGAGCTTTGACCATGGGACGTAGGAATAAACTGGAGGGGGAAAATGAGCCACACGATGAACATACCACTCTTGGATGGTCCTGTGCTTCAGCTAGGGGAGGGCTCTTGACATCCAGGGAAGTTTTACTACAGCTTGTTTTTTCCTAGAAAGCAGGACAGGTGCAAAACCTACACTGGTGAGTAGAACTTATTCACCAGAAAAGTCTAGAAGGGTTATTCCAAGATCATGGAAATTGTATTAATAAATTTAATGAAATTAAAATTGTATAGCCATAGCTCCCTATAGTTATGCTTCTCTACCTACTAAACTATAATATCACAAGGTGTTTTTTGCATTAACATTGAGCTTGTGGAGGCAGATCAGTAAAAGCATATATTGTGTTGACTCCCCATTAATTTTTAAAATGAGATTATTTAAGTTTCTTTGAAAAAGATCATAATTACATATAACATTCAGTTAAACAAGAGATGCTGCAGAACATAGAAACAGAAAGAACAGAAGTGCAACAATGCCCTGCTTTACTGGCCTTTTTTTTTTTTACCTGAAGTTTTTCACCACTTCATTAACAGCAGATCTGTAATTGTTTACATCCATTTGCAGCCTTTAGAGTTCAAGTTTGCCTTACAAACGTGAGTGTTCCTTTTGCATTAAACCATTCGATACTTCACTGCTATCCCAGATCTGTGGTCCTTATAGCACCTGAGCCCCTGTTAATCACTTTTTTTTCCCCACCCCCTCTTTTTGAGGTACTTCAAGAGACCTGCAGAACAGCCTGCAACCGCTTGCCACAACATTCATGCAGGTTACTACCACGGAGGGAGGGTGCTCTCACCAGGTTGGCCTTGGCTAATCCCCTGAGATTAGCCATAGTCAAGAGAGAAAGGGAGACTCCCCTAAAGCCACTCTTAAGCGACTCTGTCACTTCTCCCCCTTTCTGTGCCCAATCAGCTAGTCACCCTCAGCAGAAAAGTTAGCCCTTCGAATACCCCTTCAGTGTCAGAAGCTACCTCAGTGTGAACTGAACAGCCACACCGATGAAGACTACGCTGAAGAACGTAAGAGTGCCATTCCAGTTATTTGCCTTATTCATAGAGAAGTCAGCATTCACTTCACATGCACCTCTACTCCAGAATCAAATTAGGCATGAGTTCAAGCATTGCCCCTAACCCAGCTCCACCCATCAGGATGCAGTGGTACATTTTATGCACTTGAGCTGGTTCACCAGTACATACAAGCCCTGGTCTGGAGGCTCTATATATGTATGTACTTACCAGGTTCAGCATCCTCCGGATGCAGCCGAGGCCGCTGCGGTACA